GGAACCCACACTACCTGGAGATGCAGTTCAAGATACAGTTCTGGTATAAAGAAGAGTCTTTCTCCTCAAAGTAAGGGCATAACCTGCTGTCTTTAATGAAATTTCAGCCTAGTAAAGGCCAAGGTTTTATCTTGGACCACAAAAAAGACTCACATGCAGAGCCAGAAAAACCACTGAGTGAAATCCCCTGTAGTCAAGGACAGACCATAATAGCAATTAGGAAAACTTAAAGAGAACTAGAAATCTGGAAAGTAAAAGTCATGGGGTCTGAGTTACTATTAATACCTTGAGGGCTGTAACATACTGGATGTTATAAAACCCATACCAAGCAGGTGGAAGAGAGAGGTGCCTTCCTATTTGGTGGACTCTCAGGCCATAAACAAGATACTAACAGAAAAGTTAGGTTCAGATCCGTGCAAAGACACGACAGAAGGCACAAGACAGGCAAACACCCGTCTCCTGGGCTGAAATGTGAGCACTACGGAGCCAGGGCAATCTGAGCCTCACTTCCATACTCTGAGCATTCAGCCCAGTATCTAACAATCAGTAGTCACTCTGTTAGTAGGTATTCACAGAATAAATGAACGAATTAGGGTACCATTCTGCTCTGTCAATAACAGTTTCATCTAATCATGTAGTGTGTGTACAGATATAGTTTTACCCTTCATGGAAGGAAAAATCTTTAAAATAAATTCAAAACAGGGAGGCAGTATAGAGTAGCAGTAAACAGTTTGGGTTCAAATCCCAGTACTGCCAGCAAAGGGCTGTGTAACTGTGAGCAAATTGTGGGTTAGAAACTTGAACCTCATTTTCTCATCCACAAAACAGGAGTAACAACAGTACCTAAGTCCACTGAGTTCTTGGCAGAAATAAATGTGATTTCAGATGTAGCATTCTTTGAACAGTGCTTGTCACACAGACCAACTGTGTCACAAATGTTTAGCTACTATTACCAACACCTTTAAATCTGAGCACAGGGTAGGTAAATCAAGTATAGAGGCACCTCTTTCACACACATAGACACACCACATCTGCTAGTTTTAAGTTGAGCCAAAAAATGTTCTTTAAGTTCACAAGCATGGTCCCTAAAATAGGAGCAGGAGAAAAAATATAAGAAAGAACATTCAACCTCATTAACCCAAAAATGAAAGTCAAAACAAGAAATATCTTCACCCCTTAAATGGGCAAACATTTTAGAATTAGAATAATGTCAGGTCAGGGTTGTGAGGTAAAATATAGGTATTTCATCTGCAGTAGTAATTGATACAATGTTTCTGGAAACATTATGGCAGTATATTATCTAGGGCCTTAAAATACCTCTCCTGTTTCCAGGCTTACATATCTTTAGTAGAGTTATTTTCATAGTATCAAAAAAAATTGGAAGCATCCTAAAATCCATCAAGATGAGAGTTAAGTAAATTATAGCGCATTTGCAAAAGTAGAGCACAGGCAGTGCTAACAAGACTTCTGAAGCCATGAGGGAAATCAGAAAGCACAAGTATGAAAACTATATGAGTCCATTTAAGGTTTTCTGTCTTTATTTATTTTTTTTAAAAGGGTAACAAAAAGGAATAGAAAAAAAAAAGAGTAACAAAAGGAATAGAAAAAAAAAAAAAAAAGGAAACACAAAATTTCCTAGAATACACCAATAGTTTATTTCTAGATTTTGAGACTCCAGATGATTTTTCTTTTTTCTCTGTAACTTTCTGTATAGTATAAGATGTTCTACAGTGATACATATTACTTTTAAAGTTATTAAAAACTGTCACCTATACTTATAAAAATATAGATGATACTGAACAGATTCAATCCTGGTTCATTCTATTAAATGTCATGCCATTAATGATCATGCTGTAATCAGCACACATCTATCAATCCAAACTCAACAAATCCTACTAATGTGTAGTAATTTTAGTCTTCCCTGCCCAAATCACAAGACTAAAGCTTGGGTCTGCCAACATGGTTAAAAGCTTTCCCTAATATCAGCGATGACAGGGTAGATCTTTTTTTTTTTTTTTATTGGACAGGGTAGATCTTGATGTTGTACTAGTACTTTTCTGGATATAAAAGGCTTACTGAAATTATAAGAAAATTCCCAAAAGAAGTCTAGATACTCTTGAAAGTAAGAGTTGTTGAAAAGTCTTGACAGTTGCCACTGTCAGCTCTTTCTTCTCTTTTTTATCCTTTCAGAAAAAAGCTGAGAACATCTCTGAAATTACTAAGCATTTCCATGGTGCCATACATTGAGAAAATCTCTTAGAACATAATCAGTCATCTCCCTACCATTTTTATATATCACTGTAGATAAACACGGTTTAACCGTCTGAGTAAAAGTAAAATTCATGAAATATACAATATTATGGTGGCCAACCTACTACCAACATTTTACTAGCTTTCAATATTTTAAAGGTCGCAAAGTATTAAGTAATATTTATTCACTACCTGGATAAATGTTTACTGATCTTCAGGGTACTACAGGGAAAGTAGGAATAACTCTTACATTTTAAAAGTTTAAAGGTTTAGACTGTCACTTCAGAACTTCACTAACTTAGTAAATTACCTTAACCAAAATAAAAAATATATATATAATTGAGTATGAACATTAATCAGAATGCATATTACCTATTTACCTAGGAATGACAATTCTAAATCTGATGCAACATAAATATTTCCCTCAGAAGTCTGGTTACATGATTATTACAGGAAGGCGAGATCATAGAACACAGCTCTCTCATCACTGCTTCCTTAGAGGCTGCAGAACTGCATGGTGAGGATAACAAACAGGGCTCCAAATGGGCTTTTCCAAGGCTGAACACACGTACAGACAGAAATTCAAACTAGGAAAATAAAATAAGAAAATCTAAACTCTCCAAAGTATAACTTTCTATCTTAACCCAAAGATAGCCTGTTACTATCTGTTTACTAAATAAAATATTATATGTAAATGTTCTATAAATATGAAAATGCTATGTGAATTTAAGGTGTTGTTAATATTAATATTCCCACTATTCATTCTTGAGAAATTAACACCAATGTCATACTTCACAGATCCTACAAAAAAATAATTCTATGTTTTGTTTGGAGAAACAAAAGAGCCCAGAAAAGAGCCAAATAGCCAAATAATCTTAAGCAAAAAAACAAATCTGGAGGCATCATACTACCAGACTTTAAACTATACTACAAGGCTAAAGTAACCAAAATAGTATGGTATGGGCACAAAAACAGAGACACAGACCAAGGGAACAGAACAGAGAACCCAGATGTAAAACCATCCACATAAAGCTAAATGATCTTTCACAAAGCAGATAACAATAATACACTGAGGAAGGAGGGCCTATTCAATAAATGGTTCTTGGGAAACTGGATAGCCACAGGCAGAAGAATGAAACAGGATCCATATCTCTCACCAGTCACAGAAATTAATTCCAGATGAATCACAGGCTTAGATGTAAGGCATGAAGCCATAAAAATTCTAAAAGAAAACGTAGGAAAAAACTCTTTTAGATATCTACCTAGGCAAAAAATTTATGAAAAAGATCCCAATGGCAATCACCGCAACAATGAAAATAAATTAACAGGACTTGATGAAATTAAAGGCTTCTGCATAGTTAAGAAAATACTCAGCAATGCAAATAGACAAACTACAGATTGGGAGAAAATATTCACAAGCTATATATCCAATAAAGGGGCTAATACCAGAATATACAAAGAACTCAAGCAAATTAAGAAAAAAAAAGATTAAAAAGTTGACAGAAGACATGAATAGCTTTCCGAAAGAAGATAAACAAATGGCCAATAACCATATGAAAAAATGCTCAAGGGTCACTTAATCAGCAGGGAGATGCAAAGTAAAACCATAAGGAAATGTCACCTTACCCCTGTTAGAACGGCTTTTATTAAAAAGTCCAAAAACAACAGATGTTGGCATGGATTCAGAGAGAAAGAAACACATGCTGCTGAGGGACTGCACATTAGCACAACCTTCCTGGAAAACAGTATGGAGATTCCTCAAAGAACTGCAAGGAGACCGACCATTTGATCCAGCAATCCCACTACTGATTACTTACCCAAAGGAAAAGAAATCATTTCATCAAAAAAATACCTGCACTCAAATGTTTATTGCAGCACAAGGCACAATTGCAAAGATGTGAAATCAACCCAAGGGCCCATCAATTCATAAATGGATTAACAAAATGTGGTATATGTATACTATGAAGTACTACTCAGCCATCAAAAAGAGAAATCACTACATTTTGCAACCATTTGGATAACCCTGCAGACGATTATCCTATGTTAAATAACTAAAGAATGGAAATTGAAAATAAGCAATGTGCACAGAGGGAAGTAAAACTCACCGGAAATAGAGCAAAGCAGAGGGGATGGGCAAAAACCTACGTCGCAGGTATTATCAACACTCTCTGGGTGATGGGCACACTTACAGCCTGACTTAAGCAGTACAAAAGCAACACATGTAACAAAAACATCTGTAATCCTGTGATATTTTGAAATAAAAATAAACAAGTAAACCAATTAAAAGACCTCCTTCTTAGGAATTAAAGGTGAACTGTAGCAAATATGGGCAATAATATATATTTCAAGGGTGGCACCTGTGGCTCACTGGGTAGGGTACTAGTCCCATACACCAAGGGTGGCGGGTTCAAACCCAGCCCTGGCCAAACTGCAACAAAAAATACCCAGGCGTTCTGGCAGGTGCCTGTAGTCCCAGCTACTTGGGAGGCTGAGGCAAGAGAATCACTTAAGCCCAGGAGTTAGTTGCTGTGAGCTGTGATGCCACAGCACTCTACCAAGGGTGACAAAATGAGACTCTGTCTCTTTAAAAAATATATATATATTTCAAAGATATTATTAATATTCAAACTATATATTCTTATATTTATCACAATAAAACTTCCTAACACAAGTTAGTTAAATATTTCACTGATAATTTCTCCTAAAAATAATTTCATCACTGAAAATAAATAAAAAGTAGAAATACTTACTTTTAATTCCAAACTGTCCCCAAAACAGAAGTAGAGCAAAAACTGGGAAAATAACAATGAGAATATTCTCATTTGGAGAAAACCATGACACTGGGGAGAAAGAAAATAAAAATCACAATTAATATTTACTATCACTTTAAATCCTACAAATGGGCTATCATTAACAATAGAACCTCTATAAATTGACCAATCAGGGACTATAATGAACTGTAACATACGAAGGTGGTCACCATAAGGAAAGAATACTGATATGCACATGCGGTTCATGTCTGGTCTATGAAAATTAGGTCAACTTAAGAAGGTGGTCAATGGAGGCGGGTGGTCAACTATGGAGGTTCTATTGTCTATATTTTATTGTGGAGATGAAAATAAAAATAATTAAAGCCTTGACCTTGATTTTTACATATATTTATATACACACACATAAGAAACAAATTATACATAATTTACTTGTATAACAAATTTTATTCATGAAACAAAAAACTATAGTTGTTGAAGTGGTTTCTTAGGACATTTTCAGTAATGTGTATTTTATAGAAGGTGGTACAGCACAGGAGCTGAGAATGGGGCTCTGGGGCTACAAAGTTCGAGTTTGAAACTACTCTGATTCAACAACTATGTAACCCTGGCAATGTCTTAATGCTGCTCTGTTTTTCAGTGAGGGTATAACATAGTACCTAGACCTTGAAGGATTGTTGTAACTATTAACAAAGTTAATAAAGTATATGCGAAGTGCTTGAAACAAAGCTCTCAGCCCTTACCAAGTACTCGGCAAATACTAACTACAATTATTATTCTATGTTTGTATTTTGAATACCTGTATGTGTATAATGCCAAAAATTTATCTTTAAGCAATAGTGACATGCTCCTGTAAGCACTGACTTAGAGGACCTAAAAGAAGCTGTATCGCTAGACACCCTCTCTGTGACTAAGACCAAGAGAGATGAATTCTGCCTTTTCACTTACTCTGCAATGAGACTTATTACTGAATAGTTAGGCTTCAGAAGGCTTGTTTACATGTAAAGTAACATGAATGATTTTAGGTTATTGAGGAAGTTGTTATTAAGTCAGTCAAATGTTTTTACAGTGAAGAGATATCTACACATCCTTTTTAAAGGAAGATAAGATTTAAAATAAGATTTGTTTTGAACTTAAAAAATTAAGTTAAATTGCATTCAATAAGCCCTTAAGTTCGTAATTTTAGCTATAAAATTTCTTCTCTAACAGTAAAGCCAAGTGAACGCATTGAAGCGTTCCCAAGTTTGCCTGGACAGGGGGCTGAGCTGTAGCAAGAGCACTTCTGATACCGCCCTAAGCAAGCACCGCCATTCCTCTGCAATCAACACTTCTCATTCAAATCCTGCCCTGCTCTGCCCCTCAGGATCAGTGAGTGGGTGAGGAACTTTGCTGCCTTCCACTTCAAAATGATAGCCACATTATTTCTTGTGCCTATAATGTTAAATCCTGGAAATAGGTTTATATCAATCTCTAGAATATAACAAAGTATAAACCCTATCTTAGGGAAATAAAATTTTCAGAATTTAGTATTTTTCCCTACAGGTAGTAGAGACTCAATACAAGGTTAAGATAGTCATACAATAGTTTAGCAAGTGTATAGAAGACTATTTTTTTTGATGCACCCATGCTTTTAAGATTTCTACCAAGAGATAGATATTTTTAGATATCCTGTATCAATACCTGAATTTTCAACCATTGAACTAAACAGCTTCCCATATCCCCCTCCAAAACTCCACTTCAAGACAATCTAAAATCCTATCAGAAAAAAATTCTGTGAATCATGTGTAGGTTTTTTATATGTAATGCCCAAAGGATATGGTAAAAGTTCTATGATTTAATAACTATGCATAAGCAATTTATTTCTCTTTATCCACTACCTTCACAATTTTGTTCAAAGTCGATATATTAACTCTTTGAATCCTCACAATTATCATATGAGAAATTATTAACTACTCCCTAAGGTCAGGGACACTGAAACACAATGAATCAAGGGTCTTAAACTTCTTAAATTTTCACGACCCAAACTGACTCCTAATATCCTCCTACTCCACCTCCTACCGAACCTCCCCTCCCAGTTTTCCTCATTTCAGTAGTGGTGACTCCACTCTCCAGCTGCTCAGGAACAAAAATCTCAAGGATTACACTCGTTCTGCTTTCATTAACAGTAGAACCTCTATAAATTGACCAACCAAGGGACTATAACAAACTGTAACACACGGAGGTGGTCACCATAAGGAAAGAATACTGGTAGGTACTGGTTTCTCTCATATACTACATATAGCCGGACAGCAAACTCTGTCAGCTGTACCCTCAAAACACAGCCACTATCTCCACTATCTGATCTCATGCTCAAGACGAGCTGACGAGGGCAAGTTCTCTCACTGACCACCCCCCTGCTCAGCAGAACCATCTTAGGGTATACTAGTAGAAATCTATTCATAGTAAGAGGTGTACACCCCCGGTCTGACCACTCACTGTACACTTATTCCACAGCACCACTGAAAGCCTACCATGGTTAGGTATCCCTCTCAGCTATTCAAAGTCCAGAAGAGAACAAGGCAAGGAGCCCAGAGCTTGAAGAGGGGCAGGGTTGAGGAACAGACTCTCTTGGGCAGTAAGGAGAGCTCTCTGGAGAGAAACTGGAATAGAGCCTCAGATGTGAAGGAGCCTGCCCTGTGAATCCAGGGAAGAAGAGATGCCAAAGGAGAAGTGCCGGGAACCAGATGATGATCACGGTGGCAGGAACTTAGTAATATGAGATCATGAGATCAGATGGGAGGAGTATGCTAGGGCAAGATCATGTTGAGTCTTAGCAGCTTTTTTTTTTTTTTTTTTTAAGATAGTGGCTCACTTTGTTGCCCTCGGTAGAGTACCATGACATCACAGATCACAGCAACCTCAAACTCCTGGGCTCAAGTGATTCTCCTGCCTCACTCTCCCAAGTAGTGGGACTACAGGCACCTGGAACAATGCCTGGCTATTTTTTAGAGACAAGGTCTCACTCTTGCTCAGGCTGGTCTCAAACCCATGAGCTCAGACAATGCCTTGAGCTTCCCAAAGTGTTAGGATTACAGGCGTGAGGCACTGCCCTCAGCTGAGTCTTAGCTTTTAAAGAGAGTTTGGATTTCATTCCAAGAGCAAGGACAAGTGTTTGGAAGACTTCTAATAGGGAAGAAAAATAACCTGACTTATTTAAAATCTTCTCTGGCAGCCATGTGGAGAATGGATTACAGAGAAGACAGATCTGTCAGAAAGTTATAGAAACATCGGTAACTTGGAAGGTACAAGGACATAATCAACAAATACAGTCCTGAGTTGAGTCAAAGGAAGAGGACTAGAACAGGGATCCTGAAACCAGGAGCAATGGCTAAAAGAATAGGGATTTTTATCCTAAAGAAACATAAACTTGGGAGAAATACTAAAGCCCTCCCAAGGAGTGAGAAATGACAGCATAGCAAGTTTTAGCTTGACTTAAGGAAGAACCAAAACTGCCCGGTAATAGACCACAATCCTCTGGGAAGTAATAGTGTCTCATCATGTCAAGCACAGAGGTAAAAAGTTTGAATGACCAACTACCTGGGGCATGACAGAATTAATCTGTGAATTAGATGGTGAGATAAACTAGATGACTACTCAAGGACTCCAAGATTCTATGCAGAAATAAGAAATGTAAGAGACATTTCAATGACAGAGTGGGATTACAGAACAAAAAATGTATTATTGTCTAAGTGATTCTTAAGTTTATCAGAAGCACTTCAGCATTTATTCAAGCTTCACACACTCTCCCTTCTCACTACCACCCAAGCTTTTAATATGCTCCCTAAAGGTAAGTAGGGGTGGGGGGAGATGGATGTCCATGATTCATTCTCTCCTAGAGTTTAGCTCCTGTCACCGACATGAGTGAGTTAGCACTTCCTAGTATGTCACAGTGGGAAAAATTTGAGAATCAAGGAATTGGGTATCTAAGAACCAACTGAGATGCTGAGGGAAAAAATCCCCAATGTCTTATCTAAAACCACTTATATGACCATTAAACTACCGATTTGTTATGGTAGCATTGTCAGATGATGTCAACTCTTGTTTTCTGATGAAAAGTGAGACATGAATACTTCTCTAAGATCCCTTTTAGCTCTGAATTTCTATGACACTGAGAAAATAAATTAAGCTTAAAATGGGCTAAGAATAATATCAGGTATTTTTCCCATCTCACGATTAAGAAAGTTAATCCAAAGACATTCCCATCCTACTCTCGCCAATCTATGGATGATAACTCTGTCCCTCACTCTTCCCCCATTCTTGGTCAGACAGAGTGGTTCCCAGGGAAATGAACTTCCTGCTAATGGAAAGGCAAAGACTTGAGATTAAGAGGGTGTGGCCTGTGAATGTTTAAATTTTGCTTCCATGCTTAAGTGTTATTAAAACCCAGAACCTCATTTTTCTTATCTTATCTTACACAAAAATAGGACAACCTGGAAAAAAGATCACTTTGATCAACTAAATGTATTTCTCCTCCAAATAGACGCACACAAACCTCCACAAATGCAGAGAACGTTTCCACCAAAAAACAAGCAAACAAAAAATCACAGTAACAGTTACTACACTAAAATTCAAACCAATTGTTTGTTTGATGCCACGTATCGAGATGGCTTTTTTGATATGTTGACACCGCTAGGCTAGAGTCCTGTTATTTAATCAAACCCAGAATTCTAAGGTGACCCCCAAATCCCTGTATCTGATATACATGCCATTCATAATTCCCTAGCATGGGTATTAGATTATGAATATGTTGAATTTAATTTCCATGATTATGGTATGTCACCTGGCAAAAGAAAGTTTGCTGATGTAATTATAGTCTCCAATCAGTTGATTTTAAGAAAGGGAGATTATCATTGAGGGAGAGAGGGCTGACCTAATCAAGTGATACCCTAAAAGGTCTGGACTCTTTCTGGCAAAATAAATTCAGTATTTGAGAGAGATTCACAAAAGGATAATTCTCCTTCACTGGCTTTACATGTGCAAGGGATTATGTTCAAGTAATGGGGGCAACCTCTAGGAACTGAGAGAAGTCTCTGGAGAACATCCAGCCAGCAAAGAAACAGAGACTTCAGTCCTATAAACACGAGGAACTGAATTCTGCCACAATTATGTGATCTTGGAACCTTAAATTCCAGATAAGAATACAGCCTGGCTGACATCTTGATTTCAGTCCTGTAAGACTTGATCAGAAAACCCCGTCCCACCATGACCTAATAAATGGTCAGGTAAGTGGGGGTGGGGGGAGATGCATGTCCATGATTCTCTCGAACTCAACTTTTCAGCTACCATGTTTGTGGTTATGTGTTATGCAGCACCAGAAAACTAATACAAGGGCCTTACAATGTCTTTATGTCATCATTATAAACAGTGTATGTCATATTGATAAGGTGGAATCAGCAACTCTATTGAACTCAACATTTTAAATCAAAACTCCAATATCTTACTTAGACAAAATTAAAATTTAAACTTCCAAAATTTTGTATCATTAATAATAGAAATATGAGTAACAAATTTTATGACTACCATTATTTATACTTACTATTTGGTTACTGACAAGGTGTTTTCACAGAAATCATATATTATGGTGGTAAAAATACTGGGTTTTATGGACAGAGAGGTCTAGGTTAAAATCCTGGCACAAATCCTAGGTTAAATTGTTAAGACCTACACCTATCTCCAAGAGCTTCTGAGAAAATAACAAGACACGGCATAGAAAAAATATCTAGAATGTGTTCAAATAAATGTTAGGTCATTTTATTCTTCTCATTTGTACTGCAATCACTTCCTTGGAATCAGTGTTAATGTCTGAGTCATTACAGAACTCATAGGGCCTAGCACAGTGCCTGACACATAACAGGCACTCAATAAATCTCCACTAAGAGAGATGCTACCTTATTGATCTCAAACATTCTGTGATGAAGACGATATCCCCCAGTACTGAGAAGAATCTGAAGGCTAGTTTTTTATCCAAGTTTTCTTAAGCTAGAAAATGTTACAGGATAGAAAAAACAGCTTTCTAAATTCAAGTCTGGTGCTCTTTGCATAGTACTATAGTATGCAGAGGCATCAAAGTTATATAAAACTGTATCTTACTGTTTTCCTAGTGCTGCTCAAGAAGTAAAAAAGAGGGGCACATAGAATGGTCACCACTACCTGCATTCTATTAGGTGGAATTCAATTCCCTATTGAGTCTTTTCTATTTCTCATTTATGCTTATATCTGTAGATCTGCCAGAAAGCACAGCCTAGTAAAAATGGTTTCTAATGCCTATTTACAAAGTCCCCAGGATGGGTAAGTATCCTCACTACAACAAATTTGTATTCCATAGTAAGAGGCCTGCCTTATTTAACGTTTTTTTGTGTTTTTTTTTTTTTCCAGTAAAAAATGGGTGCAAAATCATAGCACCAGATGTGGGCAAAGATGTAAAGAAGCTAGACCACTCTTATGTTTCTAAAGGGAATGTAAAATGAAACCGGCACTCTGGAAAAAAGCAGTTTGGCAGTTTCTTTAAAAACTATACATACACTTACCACCAGAAATTATACTTCTAAACATTTATCCCAAAGAAATAAAAACTATTTCTACATGAGAACCTGTACACAATTTTTCATTTGTTATTACTGAACTGGAAACAACCCAAATATCTTACAAAAAGGGAAAGGATTAAGCTGTGATATATCCACACCATGGGACACTCCTCAGTAAAAAACCCTTATGCCTGATGGATGCGACAGCTTGGACAGATGTCAAGGGCACAACCTGAAAAGATCGATCACCTATTGTATGACTCCATTTATAAAACATTGTTGAAATGGCAAAATTACACAGATGGAGGACGAATTAGTGTTTATCAGATTACGTACAGTGGGAGGTAGGTCTGTGCCTGTAAACAGACAGCACGATGGAAACTGTACATTTTGTCAGAAAAATTTTAAGGAGGTAGTAAATGATCTAACTTCAGTCACTCACGGTAAATCTGACTGACCGATTAGATCCCTCCTACAAGGTATGTGGGTATGTATTTATTTTTTAAAAAGTGCGTTAGCTCAAATTAATATCAAGAGAAAAAGTTACAATGTAAGAGAGATTTCTGAGCAGAAAACTCTCTGAATTCTCCTTACTTGCTCTGAGTCATCCTGCCATTCCTCACTGCACACAAATCCCTCTCATATCACTCTAGGCTAGCTTCTGCAACTTTATACCTTACAAAATAAATATCCTAGGAAAACACCTAACGCTCACAGCATTCTTTGATTTACCGAGAACTTGTCCACACGAGATCTCATCTGATGCTCATTAGACTCTGTAGAACACATGAACAGTAATATCTACTTTTATCCCCATTCTGAAGATGAGGTCACTTGGATCCAGCCAAGTAACTTCTCAAGGTCACAAAGGTGAATAGTAAAGGCTGAATGGGGGATATAACTCAGAGCTCCTCATTCCCAGTTCTGAACAATGTCAAAATATTTCATCAAACTAGACAGCGCATTCTCAGTCTCGTAGCAGACATTTTATAATAGTCAATCAAACTGAATTGTTCTGATCCCATCTAGAACAGAGGTTCTCAAAGTAGGATTGATCTCAAGATCAGTAATATGACTGATGATTCTCAACAGAGATTTCAAAACACAAAGTTAGAATGTACTTGTATATGTCAGAAGAAATCAGCTACAACAGCAAGAAATGGCATGGAAAAGAGGCTGTTTACTTCAGCTAACTTTACTATTTTATACAACTCATGAACCTACATTTGTAGAGAGGGCAGAATCACAATGCTGTAACCAAGCCTAAATTCAAATAAATCAATTTGGATCCCTAACCTGTCCACATTTTGGCCAATGTAAAGAATACCAAAGCAAGGCTAAGTAAAGAAAACCTCAAGAAATCATCCATGATCACCAGATTAAATCTCCTGATTCTCCTTTTAATCTATTCTCTCCAGAATAGAATGTGGATTAATGTGTCTGAGACTTGCCAACTCTCGGTTACAGGGAGGGGGGAAGGCAGGAATGGAGGGACAGAGGGGGTAAAAAAAGGAAAGGAAATGAAAAAGGAAAAAGGAAAGGGAAGAAGAGGGGAAGGGAAAGGAAAGGAAGGGAAAGAAAAAAGGAAGTAAAAAGGCTGAAAGGTAAAACAATTGGAAACAAGCTTGAAAATTAATCACAGGAAACAAAGTACTTCTGCTGGTGGTAAACAGCAAAGCAGAGGAGATGACCCTACAATCAACTACCCAAATAGAAGTTGCCTAACCAAAAGTCTGAGACCCATACAATAGATAAATTAACAGTAAACAAGTTTCACAGCAGAAAGTAGAAGAGTAAGTAAAATGGGACTCATAATCTTAAAGCTACTATTAATAGCCTGCTTTTTGATTCAAAGGAGCTTTCAGCCCTTTACCTCCTTTCTAATAGGATCAGGTTGTAACAGGACAAATGAAAAGGAAGCTTTTAGAGAAGTCTTACCAATACGGTATTTTACTTCTATCGTTGTTTCACCTTCTCTGCTCAATACTGTTACTTCGCAAGTGTAGTTCCCTGGGACAGCATTACTCTGATGCATCATCAAGGTGGCATCTCCTTTTAGTAATTCTGAGATCTTGATTCCTGAAGTCTTAAAAGCAGAGTCGTGAGTGGAACGGTTGTCAGATCCGTCAAAGGTGTAAATGTCTTTTCCTTTAAATTTCCACTTCACGTACACTTCATTTGTGTTTTCTGCCTCCATATTAATGACAAAGCACGGGATGGAAATAGTCTCATTGCACACAGTATATTCTACAGATTTTGTTTTGTTAAATAGTAGCTGAGCGGATCCTGAAAAAGAAAAAGAAAAATATTTTATTTAATTATTGAATTCTATAACGTGAGATCTTAGGTATGTTAATCCTTAAATCCTTAAGATAAAGAGCATTATTGCAATTGTTCATTTATGTAAGCAGTGGGTAGCAATGGAGAAGAGAAAACCTGAAAGGTAGAAAGCACAAACACATTATCTTAATATTAACTTGCGCAGCTGGCAGACAACACCGTAACTGTTCTTTATTCATTCTCAGTAATACAAAGTATATCACCATGCAACTTGGGAATCCATTCAGGTACTGTGTTGGAACATGCAGGGGTAGGATCTGGCTTTGGAAGCTTTGAAGTAATCGTTCCTGCCTACTGATATATGTAGAAAAATATTGCTACTACCATGGGAAAATTTTGAACAGAAAATCAAACCAAATATTATATTCAATCTCAACTGCAATATACTTCTTCTAAATAGAAACTGCTGAACTGATATGAAATTTATCTCTATCCTTATGCTACATTTCCAAAAAAAGCGGCAGGTTCTACTATACTTCAGTACCACGTATACAAAGTAAAGCAGATGAATCAAATCACATCTTTCCACTAGGATGGAAAGTCTTGGAATACTAATGAGAAAAAAACATTCTCTGTGGCTATTTTCCCATTGCAAAATATAGACAGCAACAGACATTTTATTCGCATGTTTTACAAAGGCTTATATACAAATGAATGGCATTTTCCCACCCCCATGTTTCATTGATGTTACAGAATAACAATTCTCTAATGCATATTACAGGTATTTCTTCCTCCAAGAAACCCTACACCATTCAAAAAGGTAAGAAACAGGTTGAAATCAAAGCAGTTACTGCTAATAAGTAAGAGTATATCCTAACAACTCTTCTCAGTAGGATGAACTACTAGTGATTGCCCTATGAAAGAGGGTCTAGGTAACTATATCCAACCACTCACCATTCAACTAAAATGTACAAAAAGGTAGGGAAACTGCAGTTGTCTTCCATAGTCTCCAGCCAATTAGTAACTCTTTTATCTAAGTAGCTAGTTGGCTTTTCCCACAAAAAAGCACAGAGCACTAACAAATATAAGTAAAATGTCAATTTTGTTAATAGTTCATTCTTAAGATTCTTCCTTTTATATAAACTGGAATGAAAATCAGAGGCAAAGAATATTATTTTCTAAGAATACTATTATAATTTAGTAAATGCTCATTGGATTGAAAGCAAGGACGCAATAGAATATGAACTGGATGGTGTCAAAATCTGAGTACAAATTCCATCTCTGCCACTTTTTAGTGCACCACCTGAGGCAACTCACTTCTGGGTGCCTTGGTTTACTCTCTGAAAGTAGAGGATCAAAAAGAAACCCTGGGCTACTTCACAGAATTGTGAGCAATAAAGGAAAATGTATGAGCAATGCCCTTTTAACACTGGGCTGTAAGAATGTAGCTGATACTATAAAAACTGGATAATCTGACATTTTAATGAATGATAAGGACCTTCTCTGACTAGTCCAGACTGCTATATTTCTGGGATTGCAGTCTGAACCAAACTTGTGGACATTCACAGCTCACCTCTGCCCAGTTTTCTACATTTCTAGCCACCCCAATACTAGAAAGCCCCAGGTAAAACCTGGGCTTCCAAACTATATTCTTCAAAACCGTGGAGTTGTGAACTACCTTCCCCGAGAGAAAAGCATTGCAGGGTATACAAGGGAGTAAAGGGGTGACGATGTTGGAATTACAAAGGAAGGCAAGTGGCAGAAAATGTGGTGAAAGACTTTGAAGTGGATACAAAGATTACTGGGTGTCCTCTCAATGGAGTGATGGGCACTGTCTAACAGATCCATTAGTATGGTCTGATTCTACAGGAGCCTATGCCTTTCACTGACTTTGGGCTATTTTATAATAATGTAAGTTGCAGAAAATTGACAACAATGCAAATCATTGTTGTCTATACATATATAAATAAATTTTGTTCAGCAACTGACTTCTACCAGGTGAGAGAGAAGATCCCAAAATAATTATATTTCACTGCCCTGAGAATATTGGCCAATTTTGCATTTATGGGCAAATTCATTTCAGCATTCCTGATTGCCTATAAATGTGCCTGTTTTTCTGATATTCTTTTAAAAGGGTTTTACCTTCTTGTTGGTTTGCTTGTTAATGAGTGAAATAAAATCTTTGACATGTGCTCATTTTATATCTACATGAATAATAGTTTTACTTTTGGAAAATTATCCTTTAAAAAAAGAGATCCAAGTGAACAGCTCAGTTATCCTATCAAACTTTTTGAGAAGGCTCTAAGTAAGCAAGAAGTGGTTGGTGAACACTCCACATTTTCATAACTTATGTTTAGAGAATGATTTTTCTAAAAAATAGAAAAATTAATTACACTGCATTGTCTGTTCTAATAAAATCATTTTACAGCTGAAACAATTTAAGTACAATAAACGCTATCAATAAATTTAAAATAAAATTGACCTAGATGAGCCATAATTTGAATAACCTTTGCACTAATAATAAATAAGGATAGTTCAAAAATATCACTTCAACTGTTAACTACAACTTCAATCTCCATAAATATGCATAACAACTATTAACTAGTAAAATCATCTGATTTGGGTTTTTCTCTTTGGCCAACTGCCTTCTGATAAAACAGCAAAATATAAAAAAGCAAATCGCACATAGATAATTAACATAAATAAGAAAATTCTGAATAAACAGATAAGCTTATGGCAATCTAAATCAGAAAGAGAAAAATGTAACCAAGAGCAATCTAAGAGTTACAAATTAGCAAAGAAAAGTGGAAAATTATTTTGCATCAAATGGCAAAATACTGGTCTGTGCCAGTATTGGTGAATACAGATCACCAACCCAAACCATCTCAGACCACAGTTCTGGAAACAGCTATGGAGTGGCAGAGAAGGCACAATCCATGTAGTCACAGCATACAGGTCCAGCTTGGAAAAATGTGAAAACACACAAAAAATTACCTGATCTGAACAATGGGATAGGATGTGGAGAAACAATGAAAAAAATGTAGAAATTATCTTTTAGGAGCTCACAATTTTCATATGGGGGATGATAAGTACTTTATATGATACCAAATCATAAGTGTTTTCCTTTCTGTGTGAATAAGAGTAATCAGTTTTATAAATTTCTAGGAAAATTTATGTTGCTACTAGGAAAGCACAGAGAGTGTCACGGGGCTTTGAAACTTTTACCTTTTGTACATGTTCCCCCATGTAAATTTTCTCTCCTTTTTGACAACTCTTTAATCATTCTCCTTTGCCTCTTACCCTGTGCCCTCTAAGAGTCCTCCCTCCCTATGTCTTCATTCAAATTGAATCCTTCAGAGGAGGATCCAGAACCTTCCAATACTCCCCACCTATCAACTCACCTGCAACTCCAACTATCCACGCCTCTTTCCCTCCCACTTTCTCCTTTTCAAAATGAATCTCTTTACCTGAGACCTAGTTCCCATTTCTGCCTCCACACCCATCTATCTCCTCAAAGACTCTCTCTAGTTGAATATTAGCTTCTCATGTCTCCATATCTCATTTGTAGAGTGCTGTGCTTTACTTTAAGTCTTTTTAAAAAATGCTTTTATATTCTTCAACTTAAAAAGAAAATTCCCTTATACTTGCCCCTCTCTTCCCCAGCATCCCCAAATTACAATGTATATGAGTCTCTTCACTCCAATTCACACCTTAAATCTTTGTCACCTGGCCTCCGCCCTTCATGACTATTACTTCTTTATCAAAGTCGCCAACAATCCCTTGTGAAAAATAAAATGTGCACGGTTCACTTTCCATCTTGACTTTTCTACAGTTCCTGCACCAGTGGGAAGCTCCTTTCCTGCTCTGGTCTCTTGGCCTCTATGGTGTTTCTTTTAATTTTTTTTGCAGTTTTTTGGCTGGGGTTGGGTTTGAACCCACCACCTCCAGCATATGGGACTGGTGCCCTACCCTTTTGAGCCACAGGTGCCACCCTATGGTGTTTCTTGATTATGAATTTCCTCCTGCTTTCTTTATTGAAATATATTTTTTGATTCACACTAAATGTTCATGTTTCTAAGGACTTCATACTCAACACCCCCATCTCCACCAATATTCTCCCCAACTTCCATGGTTTTATCCTGTACACTATTTCTAAGCTTCACCAGGCCTTCTCTTTCCTCTAAACTACAGACATTGGATGGCCACCTGGCTGTTGTACATTTCTACTTGAATGTACTACATTTACAGTCAACATGTCTGAAAACCTACTTACCCCCTCCCCATGCTTCACCTATTATCTACCAGTCAACCAGACCTAAAAGTCATGATAGAATCTTCCCTTTCCTTAGCCATGGAAAATTTTTGGTTATTTAATAGTTCCCAAATCCAACATCTGTTGAATGAATGATTAAGACACTTATCTTTTCTCCCTTGAACTATTGCCATAACCTCCTAACTGGCTCCCTGCCTCCATCCTGAAGATTTCTCCATCTCAGGCCCAATATATTTTCCACAGTTCCTAAAATAACTGTTCTAAATGCAAATGTAAATTCCTTTCCCTAATATACTTTAACAACACCTTCCTGCCTTTCCAGGCTAAATTCTTAGTACGTTAGACTCAAAATACAAATGAGGTCCTTCAACATCTTTTCTAGCCCTACCTCCTGTATTCCCTCATTTCCAAACTAAGCTCCAATCATAATGACCTTCTTGCAATGGCATGACCATGGAAATGTACTCTTATCTCCCCATATCTTAGTACATGCTGTTCCCCCAGCCTGAATAAGCTTATACTGTTCACTGGGTATAGAAGGGTGTCTAATAGGTAAACAGCACATTTTGGAGCCAGACTCTGGTTCAAGACTCAGCTCAAGCACATCTTAGTTGTAAGCTTCGGCAAGTTACTTAATCTCTGTACTTTCATTTCCTCATCTATGAAATGTGAAAATTGATAGTCTACAAATATTAACCTCATAGAGATTTTGTCAAATTTAATAAGAAAACAA